AGCTGAAATGGCACTCTCATCTGATTTCTTTAAAAGCTTCAGATTCAGTAGAGGTGCATCAGAGCAGTCAGGGCTTAGTTTTGGTGAGACTGATGAAATGAGAAAGTGGGAGAAAGAGTATTCATAACCTAGCACATGGCACATTTGTTTTATGTGAAATCCTGGTTCAGGTCTCATCAGGTCTCATCACACATATGTTTGTATGTACACATGTATTTGTTTTACAAACTGGGATTCATTATGATGCAAATTATTTAATCAAAAAAGTTCCTGACAAGATCAGTTTGACATCCTTATCTGTCAATATTACTCTATGATTTCCATTTAAAAATAAGGTGCTCTGTAAGCAGTAGTATATATGAAGCCTTTGTGGGCTTTGGGTGAGTTTACACCTTGTGGTTGGATTATTCTGCACCTCTGAGGACTGAGCACTGATCAAAGCGAACGATGGTCCTCCCCTGTGTGGATTCTCTAGTGTGCAGTAATATAGCTCAACATTTTTCCTCTCCCTCAGTGTGGAACTAACCTGATCTTTTTCTTTTGTATCCATCTGTTCATTTTCACATATTCAATACCTCTGAAGTTCTGTTCTGTATCATATGTGATTAACATTAACTAGCAGAACCAAAATATACTATGCAGGACCTAAAGAGAAAGTGATGACATTATCTCTAAGAATCCTGTCTATAAATAGAGTGAAATCAAACCAATGCAGCACATAAGAAATTAATGAAAACATGGCATTATGATAGATCTCAAGTAGTGATTTGGAGATAAGAGTTATCATTCCTTGTGGCTTTTTCCTAGTCATCAAGGAGGTTTTGGTCAAAACAACAATCACCATCTTTTTCAATAATGTAGAAGCAAAAATAAAATTCTTCCCAGTGAACTTTGCAGATGTCATAAAACCTATGCAATGATAACTGATGAGGAGGACAGGTTTAGCTCTGCAGAAGAGCATGAATCACATGCTAGACTGTGCCCACGTTATGGATGAGAATGTATGACACACTTACCAGTGGTGTTTGTATTTTAGGCAACAGTGACTTGGAAGCAGATTTGAGCTGAACATGAGCTCAAAATGTGAGAATACCGAAGAAGACAGTGACAATCTTATATCTAAAAGGAGGGAACTACTGAGCAGAAGATACGGTGTTACCATATGGTTTATTAGTGAAAGTTTGTATTCAGTTAATCTGTCTGCACATTAGCAACAATGCTACAATGATAGGAAAGGTACAGAAAAGAATAATGAAGAGTATTACCAACCTGGAAAATCTTCCTAATTCTGAGAGTAAGGAAGGTCAATCTGTTTAAGCTTTGGCAGCATAAATATTTCGCAATACAGTAAGCTAGTGCAATACTTTGCAGAACATTATCTTTGCTGTTCTGGCTGCCCACGAGTATGTTCTTTACCTTGTGGACAACACAAGGTTGTTTTGTCCTTAAGGAAAAGAGGGCTGGCTGGTTTACATTCACCAAGTGAACAAAAGAATCACTGCTGTAGAGTATCTAAAGCACTATCTTCTTGTTGTCTGACAGTAACTTACCCTACAGTGCCGCATCCACAGTGAATTCAAAAGTTCATTGAAAGATGATGTGGCCAGAACAAAAAAGTACAAACATAAGAGGCTGTCATGTTTTTGTGTTCCCTTTAAGCTAACACAATCCAGCAGCTAGAAGCTGAAGCTGGCAACACTGAGACTGGAAATGAAAACCTAGTTTTCTGAAGATGTTATATCTATCAATTACATTCTTGAGGCTAAAATTACAAATGTTTCTAAAAGATCACATAAAAGTTTTATCTTCGATACAGAGAGTCCCTTAAGAATATCTTGGATCTGGTTTGTCCAAGCAGTCACATTACGCAAGTAATGACATTTCCTTTTATAAACCAATATATTTGTAAGATCAAAAAGTTATGAGGCTGCTTCTCCCTCCTCGATCTGTGATCCGTACAGCCACCATACTGCCAGGAGTATAAATGGTAAGAATGTCTGGACTGAAAATCAGTGTATGGATTATAGCCATGCTGACTTTCAAGGATCCTTTATAAATTATGATTTATTTATAAATGATCCCTTGTCATTATGATATAATGATAAAGAAAGATAAGCCACAGCCAGCTGCAAATGAGACTGAAATTAGGAAAGGCATGTTGAAGGCCGAGCTCTTACTCTTCCATATCAGTATCACAGCATCATATGAATTGACTGCATGAGCATTCAGCTGAAATGTAAGCTTGTAAACACCTTGCCATTGCTGAAGACACGTCTACAGAAAGGTTGCCCAAGGTGTATGTTTGTAAGATATAGACAATGCTTGTTTGTTTGTTTGTTTATGAAATATATATGAATATATATTTCTTCAGGTCAATAACCGGCTTTGCCTCTGCTTAACCGAACATCCCACTCATCATTTCCTGTTCTTTAACAGCTTTTGCTTGTGTTGATTTAGACAGTAAAAAAGAAGGAGGTCATCCCTCTATTTACTTACAGCCCAAATCCTGTCCCAAATCCCTGCAGCACTTGCAGTGCTACAAAAGCCCACAGAAATTATACTTCTTGTCATTTAAATCCATAAATGAGTTGAGCTTCAGTGGCTGAAGAGAGGTAAAATTTTTAATTTCACTGAGGAGTCTTAGGAAATTATATCCTATCCTATTAGCCTCAGCCTTTCTTCTTTGAAGGTTAAAATTACATTTTCAGAAACAAGGTATCTTGCATGCAGGATCACTTTGGGTTTTGCCTACAGATACGTATACACGTATACATGGATGCATATTAAAGGACTTGCAGAAAATTTGAGCCAAAACCTGACAGGAATCAATGTTCTGTCAAAATCTCAGTGCAGGAGCCTCAGACAGCAGCACTCTCAGCTTTCCCAGACCAGGACCTGATGTACAAAGTTAATCACAAGGATTCATTTTGTTGAGGGATCAGAAACCCAAAGCTGGCTCTATATAATACCTAAATCCCTTAATGCAACCAGCAGAGTCACAGTGCTTCCGTCCTCTAAAGCTGATACTTTCTATTAATTCAAGATACCTGTTCATTCATCTTTCTTTCCAGGCCAATTGCTAAAGGAAGGGTTTTGTGGTTGGAAGAAAGGCAAGCTCACAGTTCAGAAAGACAGGAGATAAACTACTGCCCCCTTTGTAGTCAATAGGACTTTTATTACTGTCTTCGGCTCTGGATTTCACCAAATAATTTGCATATGAAAAGTTACATTTCTGTAACTTTTTCTGTACATTTATTCAGCAGATCTGTACATGAAAAGGAAAACTAGAAACACTTCTGAACTCTGTTTTCACATGGAGATGAAAGGTTTTCCCAGAAAACAACTAAAGTGAAAATTTGCAGGCATATGTTCTAGGCATTCTCTAATAGTTTCTATGACATAAATTCAAAGCTCCAGCCTATTGACTCCTAAGGTTGAGACACTGTCATGGACATCATTAGACAGTGCCAAGATAAAATCCTAACTGCAACTCATCAGAAGTTATGACACTCAAAACCTGAATCTGAATTTTGTACTTTGGTCTGATTTTTATCAAAATCTGCAGAACACATGGCAATCCTACAGTGGTTTAAATTTCTCTGTCTCACTGTGAAGGCAGGGAAAATGGAATGGAATGGTATGACCTTTGATGAAGAGGACAACGTGAACATGATATTCCCCTCTTCTCTGTATCACTTCAAATAGGTAGTGAAAGCTGACTAATCACGTTAACTTTTAAGGACATCATTTATAATAATGGCTGGAAGATATCTTTGTTCATACTATCCTGTAAAGGAATGACCTGAACAGAAAATACGCTTTGCATGAATCTTCCAGTTATCAGACTAACAAGCATACAGTAACCGGTGTGTGTAGAAATTACAATACAGTTTGTGGAAATCTCCGAACACAGGCTGTAATTCGTGAAATGGTTAAAACAAAAAAAAATAATGATCTGTTAAGAAGTTTGGAGACAGAATAAATATGGTCAGTTCCTTCTGCACCAGAAGAGCTACAAGAACCCCCATATGTTTTGAGACATTTGCTTTCTGTCAACCTGTTTGGCTAGTCTATGATGGTTACTGAAGCAATTGTATAATAGGCATTAATGTGTTCATAGCAGACAGACACTATATGGCTAAAAACTGGAAATACTTAGGGAAAAAAAAAAAAAAAAAGGAGCTACTTATCTGACACACACATATCAGCCAACAGTATCCTGGGCTGCATCAAAAGAAGCGGGGACAGCAGGTCAAGGGAGGAGATTCTACCCCTCTACTCCCCTCTCATGAGACCCCAACCTGGATTACTGCATCCAGCTCTGGGTCCCCAACAAAAGAAAGACATGGACCTGTTGGATCGGGTCCAGAGGAGGGCCACAAAGATGATCAGAGGGTTAGAGCACCTCTCCTATGAAGACAGGCTGAGAAAGTTGGGGTTGTTCAGCCTGGAGTAGAAAAGGTTTTGGCGAGACCTTATAGCAGCCTTCCAGTACCTAAAGGGGGCCTATGGGAAAGACAGGGAGGGACTCTTTATCAGGGAGGGTAGCAATATGGTGAGGGGTAATGGTTTTAAATGGAAAGAGGGTAGAATTAGATTAGATATTAGGAAGAAATTCTTTACTCTGAGGATGGTGAGGCACTGGAACAGGTTGCCCAGAGAAGTTATTAAGGCCCAATCCCTGGAAATGTTCCAGATCGTGTTGGATGGGGCTTTGAGTAATCTGGTCCAGTGGAAGGCGTCCCTGCTCATGCCATCTAAAACTAGATGATCTTTAAGTTCCTGTCCAACCCAAACCGTTCTATGATTCTATGTTTCTATATACCCTTATTTCTCAATGGTGTTATGTCTGAAGAAAGAGAGCTGGTCAAATAAAATGAAAATTTTAGTGAAATGGATTCATGGTTACAAAAATGGCCTTGTTCCTTCAAGTATGGTCACATATATTCCAAGTTAAGCATGAGTGTATGTAAAAATATAAGGACACTATCTACATTTACCTACTCTGATCCCAGTTGGCTGCAAAAAGCAGAAGAATCTTCCTGCCACAGTGGTCGCGATTTTCCAGTACTCCTGGAAACCCATCCGTCAGAGCTCGCTTGATTCCTGGATCATCAGCCTTGAAGTTTTTAAACATATCCAGATTTAATTGGCGGTACTGGAAGTACTGAGCCAGCAGTCTGAAGGCCTCAGTTTGGTGAAACTTCCTGGCTCGGAGAAATCTCAAGATGAAGGCATCATCTGTACGTAAAAACCCAATGTCAGGCCTTGTGATGATCATGTCCCTGACTTGCTGGATATCCTGATGCAAAATGTCTGGGTTTTCATTCAGTTCCAGGCGGGCTTTCTCTATAGTCTCTGGACTTAGTCCAGCTTGTAAATGGGTCATCTCTGCAAAAACCTCTGTTCCAAACTCTTAACTTCAGATATTTTAGTCGGAGAAGTGCTGATCCCATTCAATTGATGTGAGGGTGAGCCATTCAGAAGCTTTTGCTATCGAGCTGATATTTAACAAATGAAAGTGAAGGGTTTCTCTTATTCTTGCAGAAAGAGTAACAGGCAGTTCACATGTAGTATAATCCATCCAAAGGAAAGAGTTGTTTATTCCATAACTTACTAAAAGAAAAAGCAAATACATAAAAGAAAGATTAAATATATGTATAAGGCTTACAGAATGCTTTTCTGAACTTTCTACACCAATAAAATTGTTTTTTATGCTTCATATGTAAGATGATACCAGTCAAATAATTTCAGAATGGGTGCATTTAAGATAAAGCAGTCACTGACATCTTGAATTTATATATTCAAGCTTTCAGAATGGCAATCTGATTAACTGACAATTAATACTAAGCTGTATCAATGTATTATTAGAATACACTTTGCAAAGTTATCTTACAGAAGTGTGGGAGTTCCAGCATCCCATAACTTCAAGCCCAGGATGACAAAAGCAAAAATAATAGTCATTTTCCCCACCCCTAACAGGAACTACATTTCAGCTTCCTAAGTATGCAGATTTACACTTACCTTATTAAATGTAACAACTGTTGATTTTGTTTGATCACCCATTCTATCAGCTTGTAGCTTTTCTTGAATTAGCCTCTGAGCTGATAGCAAATCAGACTTAAAAGCCCCCAAAACTCCACCAACATCAGGGGTATTTTCTACTTGGTAAAAGCTCACTGAAAATATTTCCCAATGAGACTTAATACATCTTCATGGGAAGCTTCCTATGAATAAAGTTTTTGATGAGTCTAATCCGACAGGGTTAGTGTTTTATTTGAAAAGAGATGCATTTTATTCCAAATTCTTTTTCCAGTATCTTTTCAGAATACCTAGTTCTGAATTTCATTTTCATTCCTGTACTTTACCTAGAATTTGTTTTTACAAGTGTTAGAAGAAAAGCTGCTTAAGCTGTTATGTATGAGCAAAATGGTACAGTGAATCTCTTACATTTCAGTGACACAATTAGCAAGAGGCTGTCATCTAAGTCTGTGTAGTTACACTTGTGTGAAATAAGATCAAGGTCTGTTCCAATGTGAAATGTATGTGAAGAAAGATCAAGACCTATCCAATTTTTCAGCCATCACAAAAACAGACAAGCAAACAAAAAGCCCCACCGCTTAACTGATCTCTCTCTCTTTCTAATTTCTGGAAAAGAAAAATTGGCTTTAAAAATTAAAAGAGAATCCCTCAGTGAAAGACATACTTTATTGTATTTGGAGAAAGCTGTTTGGAAAGTTATGAATTATTTATAGCAAAACAACCATTTCACTCAGCTACTCCCCTGGGTTCAGCGTTCTCATATCAAACAAAGGGGAGAGCAGCAGCCAGAGCATTTCTTCATCCAGGGGCTGCTCAAAGTTACATTGCAGGACCTGGAAGTCAATCAGCACAAGAGATGCCGAGTTCCCTGTTTTGTGAGCTTGCACGTCATTGATAAAAACTACATTTTAAATGCCACAGCTGCAGCCCCGGGATGAGATCCCTAAATTTGAACACAGACAGTTGCTGCATATTTGCTTAAAGGACATTTGTGGCAGGAGATAAGCTCTTCATTCAGCAGCATTGTGCGTTAGACTTGTCTGTGGGTGATACAAAGGAGAGTTTGTTAAGCGGCCTCTTTCTGCATTCACTGCGGAGCTGGAGTTATGAAGAGCTACCTGCAGGGCAGCGTAACTGGTGATTCATCAGACTGGGAAAACTTGGGAAAAGGTAGAGCCGGGAGGAAAGAAGGCTGGCTGCCTTTGACAAGTCACTACAGAGAGCAAATGACTCCAGAAAAACAAACCCTGAACTTTTGAGGGGGCAATCTATGGGTGCCAGTTATTCAGTTCTTAAGGTTGTATTAAAGGTGGATTGCACACATAAAAATAAAGTAACAGTTGTTTGCTGTCCTCTCACCTTTATTAGACCGAATTAGGAGAACTCTGATGGTATCAACTGAATTCTGCTGACGTAAAACTGATGTAGGCCATGGGAATATCGGGCCAATATTTTGTGCTTAAGATCTCAAATTAATGATGGTGTTTGCATTTTCTTGCATAAATCATGTTTTTAATTACAACTGCCTCCATGAGCTAGTTAGGGGAACTCGGTACATTTACTACGACACTGTCATCGGGGGAGTGTAGTGTA